TGTTCACCAGACCTGTCCGCTCTGGTCGTGGACAATCGACTGTACCAAATCCATTGGCCAAACCCCGGCGTGCCCATCGCTGAAACCATGCAGGCGATGGAGCAACTGGTATCGGAGGGCATGGTTGATTACATCGGCGTCAGCAACTTTTCGGTGAAGGATATGCGGGAAGCTCAAGGCGCGCTCCGGCACAATCCCATCGTGTCCAACCAGATCTTGTACAACCTGCGCCGCCGCAGCGCCGAACGGGACGTGATTCCCTATTGTCGGCAACACAACATCACGGTCATTGCCTATTCGCCGTTGGCCGAAGGTTCGTTGGTTGGCGGGCAACGCGGCGGCCTGCGGCAGGCCTTGGGCATTGGCCGGGCCCGCAGCGTCCTGGATGAAGTGGCCGGGGAGGTTGGCAAAACCGCAGCGCAAGTGGCGTTGAATTGGGTTGCAGACCAACCCGACGTGGTTGCCATCCCGAAGTCGAATAGCGTCGAGCGCACCCTGGCCAATTGCGCCGCATCCGGTTGGCGGCTAACGGCGGAGCAGCGCCAGGCTCTGGAGCACGCCTTTCCGGTGTAATCCGTGCGGCGTGGATGCCCGGTTACAGTCCGAAACTGGCCAGCGCCTTCCAGCTCAAATCCGCAGCCCACCTGCCGCCCGACCAGTCATCGCCAGCGGCGTTGGATTCGAAGCGGATCAGGATGAGCCGCCAGGACCGTGTGATTTGCGACACCTTCAGCTCGTCGGTTACGGCGGCGGCGAATTCCAGCGCCGCGTCAAACACCGAGTCGGGTAGGTCCGCGTGGGACAGCAGTGGCATTTGCGGCGGAAAATCGCGGCCGTACACCAGACGGTCACCTGAAACCGCCTGGTTCCGCTCCAGTAGATCGGCCACCAGTGATTGCAGGCGATACAGGGATTCGTTCACCACCTCCGGCGAAAAATCCACCCAGATATTGCCGTCAGATTCCGTAGGCCGAGTGGTGGTAATGCCACGGTTGAACATCGGGAACCTGGGAGAGACCCGGCGGTAACGGTTGGCCAGCTGCTCCAGCTCGGCCGCGAGGGTCGCCTCCGTTGCCGCGCCGTCGGCCGGGTCCAGCATAAAGTAGTCCGACACCGGCAGGTGCACCATGTGCATTTCGGCAGCCCAGCAAGCGAACTGCCCGCAAATCAGTTGCCGAGCCCGGTACAACCGCGCCGTGAAATCCGGATCGGTAAGCAAACTAACGCCGTAGCGAATGGACATTCTACATTCCGCGTTGTGGGGAAATTGTCGACGTTGCTGGCCGTCGGCCGGCAGTATCGGTCAATCACCCAAGGGGTTTAGCACGATTTTACCACGCTGCGGCGGCGTCGATAATTTCCGATGGCCCTGGCCGGATGGTGCGTCATTCCGACCGACGCGGGCGGCTCAGTGTATGAGCAATGGTAGTGCCCGGCTCGCCGTCATCGGGTATACTTGCCCAGGCTGTTCACGCCCCATTCTCGTCCTGGATTGTTCATGACTACTGGCAACTCCAATCCTCCAATTCGCATCCTCATCACCGACTTCGTTTGGCCTACCACCGAGCCAGAGCGCGAGGTTTTGTCCGAGATTGGTGCGGAGGTCGTGGAAGCCCCGGACGGCTCGGAAGACACGCTGACTGCGCTGGCCGTAGATTGCGACGGCATTATGACCTGCTTCGCTCAGGTTACGCCGGCGGTGGTGCGCGCTGCCGAGCGCTGTCGCGTCATCAGTCGCTACGGCGTGGGCGTTGACAACATTGCCGTCTATGTGGCCACCGAGTTGGGGATACCGGTTACCTGCGTCCCCGATTATTGCGTCGACGAGGTAAGCGACCACGTGATGGCTTTGCTGCTCACCTGGAATCGGCAGGTTGGCTTCTTCGACAGCGTGGCCAAATCCGGACGATGGGAAGGTGTAACGTCGCCCCATCCCCTCACCCGTATGCGCGGGCAAACGATCGGCATCGTGGGGTTTGGACGCATCGGGCGGGCGGTGGCTGACAGGCTCGCGTCATATTTCGGTTTGTCATGGCTGCCTAGCGACCCATTTCTGGCCCCCGACGCGGCACTGCCAACCGGTGTGGCAGCATCCTCGATGCACGACCTGCTGGCAAATGCAGACTACGTAACGGTGCACACTCCGCTGAACGACGAAACCCGCGGGCTGATTGGCGAACGCGAGCTGGGTTTGATGAAATCGTCGGCCTACCTGATCAATTGCGCCTCGGCCCGATCGTGGACGAACCCGCGCTATACGCCGCTCTCCGCGATGGGAGCATCGCCGGGGCCGGCCTGGACGTGATGGAATCAGCGGCCCCGTCGCCGGAGCATCCGATGTTTGCGCTGGACAACGTCATCATCACGCCCCACGTGGCGTTTCTATCGCAGCAATCGGTGCTAGAACTGGAGGTGCGTACCGCCCGCGCCACCGTGGACGTGTTGCAAGGGCGTATGCCGGAATTCCTGGTCAATCCGGCGGTGCTGCCCCGTTCACGGGTTAGACTCCGGTGATCGCAAGCATTTCGACACCGTACCGGTTGAAGTAAACCGAACTCATTGGGAGGACAGATTGGCATCAGCAGGTTTCACCATCAGTTATTTGGGGCACCGGCGCGGGCGGGTGCATTCTGCGCAACCACACCGCAATCGTGCTGGAATGTCCCGACGGTAGTCGTATCCTGCTGGACGCGTCGTCCGGCAACACGGTGTTGCGCCACGCCGACCAGCTCGGGATGTCGGCCACCGAATTCGACCACTGCCTGCTGAGCCACAGCCACCCCGACCACTGCGAAGGCCTGCCGCACATCGAGATGCAGCGCAGCCGCCGCAATCCCGCCGAGCAGCCTATGCAGTTGTACGGCTCGGCAGAGGCATTGTGAGACATTGGGACGTTGCTGGCCTACCCCCGGCGCGGATTGACCGTCGACGGAGATGGGGCGCAACGCCGCGACGGACGGCAGGTATTTTCCTTTAGACCCACCGACCCGGGTCAATGGGTGCAGCTCACTCCAACGATCCGCGCCAGGTGCGCCCCGGTAACACACATCGGCGGCGCCATCGCCTGGCGAGTGGAGTCGGGCCAACATGCCGTCGTGTTTTCTGGCGACACCCGCTGGTGCCCATCGCTCTCCGAGTTAGCCGAAGGCGCAACCTTGCTCATCCACGAGGCGATTTGCACTGAAACCGACCGCCGTCGCGCCGATAATACCGCCCACTCAACCGCTGCCGAGGCGGCTCGCGTGGCTCAAATGGCCGGAGTAGAACAGCTCACGCTGACCCATATCGACAACGCATTCCACTACGATCCGACGCCACTGGCACTTGAGGCGAGGTCGATCTTCGACGGCGCCGTGTCCGTAGCATCGGATTGCTGGCAGCAGCACACTCTAAGTTCAACGTGGGTCGACTGGCACTGCTTTGGAATCGGGTGTGCAGGCCCAGCGGGTGCCGCTGATGGCAGTGCGAACTCCCATTTACAAGAGCGTATTTACAAGAGCGTAACGGTGGACAGGTCCCCGCCGAAAAGGTTGGTGGTACACTCCCTGCCGAGGCAAAAACCAACGCCGCATCCGGAACGCCAGAACGATGCACGCTGAATCAACAAACCACGTTCACCCAATAATCAGGGCGACCAATCTCCTGCAGGAGTTTTCGGTGCCCCTGATTGCCGGTGTCGTGTTGGGCCTGCTTGCTGCCAACACCAACCCCCATCTCTACGAAACATGGATCGAGTTCAATCCCTTCGGCAAACACGCTGCCGTTCTGGGGCATGAACTAACCCTCCATTTCATCATCAATGGGATGTTCATGTGCCTGTTCTTTGGCGTGGCGACCAAAGAAATCACCCAATCAACTCTGCCCGGCGGGGTGCTGAACCCGCTGCGCCGTGCCATCAACCCGATAGTGGGAACCTTTGGGGGCGTGCTGGGGCCGGCCGCGCTGTATCTGGCGCTGACGTGGGTGTTTTACGGTGGAACCGAGAATTTCGGCGCAGTAGCCAACGGCTGGGCAATTCCGACCGCGACCGACATTGCGCTGGCGTGGCTGGCGGCCCGACTCATCTTTGGGGCATCGCACCCGGCAGTGAACTTCCTGCTGCTGCTGGCCGTTGGCGACGACGCCATCGGGCTGGGCATCATCGCCATTTTCTACCCAGACCCAAATCACCCGGTGCAGCCAATCTGGTTGTTGCTGGTGGTGGGTGGCATGGCCTCCGCTTACATCATCAGGCGATTCAGAATCCGCTGGTGGCCCGTGTACATCCTGGTTGGCGGCACGCTGTCCTGGGTGGGGTTGGCCAAGGCTGGGGTGGAACCGGCGTTGGCGCTGGTGCCCATCGTGCCTTTTCTGCCCCACTCCGGCCACGCTCAAGGGCTGTTCGAGGAAGAGGCGATGATTGTCGACGTGGCGGATGGCATCGCCCATAGTCATACCCACACCCACGTGCGGGTTTTTGGCCTGAGCGTCCTGGACCAGTTCGAGCATCAACTGAAACTCTTCGTTGACGTGGGGTTGTTTTTCTTCGCCTTCGCCAACGCTGGCGTCGCATTCTCCAGCGTTGGGTTGGTAACCATGATGGTGTTGGTATCGCTGATCGTGGGAAAAGCAATTGGTGTAACGCTGTTCTCCTGGGCAGCGTCGCTGGTGGGATTCCCGTTGCCGGACGGCATGGGAGTGCGCCACCTGCTGGTTGCTGGCATCATCGCCGGGCTGGGGCTTACCGTGGCGCTCTTCGTGGCGGCCAAAGCGTTCCCCGACGGTTCGCCGTTTCAGGATCCGGGTAAGATGGGTGCGGTACTCAGCATCGCATCGGCACTGGTTGCCTTCATCATCGGGTGGGCATTGAAAGTGCGAGGTCGCACGTCGGCAACGGAAACCGCCGGCGAGATTGGTGAAACCGATCGCCAGAGCACGGCGGCTGACGGCTAATACATCGCTATACAGGAGCGCAACAAAATGGCATTGATTGGCGTATTGACTCACCATTGGGCCAAGGCAGACAAGATTGAAGAGGCCAAAAAGTTGCTCGATGGCAACGGCGCAGCCCAGAGCCGCGCTCCGGGTTTCGGCGCCCGGCACACTTTTATATCGTTGTCTGATCCAACCAAAATCTCGACACTGGTTACCTGGGAAAGCAACGAGATTTACGACGCCTGGCGCGCCAGTCCGGAGCGAGCAGCAGCCATGGCAGGCGCCGGGGAATTGTGGTCGCAACCGCCCGAATCGGAGCGGTTCGAGATGCAGGACTGACCGCCCGCATCCAGCCATAAACGCCAGTTATCTAACGACGGGCGTCTATCCCAGTAAAATCGGCACGTCAATCTGCTCGGCAAGCAGGTCGGCCATGACCTCTGCTTTGTGCAAGTTGTGGGGGACAACAGCGCCCAGGATGCCACCGATCGCATCGGCGGTAGCCGTCGTGCTGCCGTCTACCAACAACACGGGCACATCGCGCTTGGCCGCCTCCACCCGGATGTATTCAGTGGGACGACCGCCACCGGTGAGCACCAGGCATCGGGTGCCCTGCATCAGGCTGGCCATCTGAATGTCAGGCCGTTCCGCTCGAGTGATGACGGCTTGATGCGGGAAGCGTCCGAAGTAACCCTCCCCTGAATCCATGATGTTGCCACCGATAAGGAACCGGTCGACCCAAGCCTCGGCATCCGACGGTTCCAGTTCCCAATGGCCGTCTAGTTGTTGCGCCAACTGCGCCATCGTAACCGACAGCATGGCGCGGTCTTCCGGCAACTGCGCCAGGGCCGGCATCCCCGCCGCCGCGGTTTCGGCGAGCATTCCCGCAGCGTGCCCCGTGCGGTAACGCGGCACCTGATTGATGATGACGCCAGCGAGGATTTCTCCCAAGGGTGCAACATCGCTGGTGATGCTCACCGCCGACAGGTCGGAGCGGTATCCGAATATGGCAACAACCCGCGCCGACAATCGGGACGCGAGGCCGGACAGCAGCGGGGAAGTCAGCCCGGAGCCGCTGGCGGGGTTGGCTACTTCCACCAGGATAGGTTCGGCCCCGGCCGTCAACGAATGGACGGCGGTGGCGGCGGAATCCAATCCGGCATCATCTTCGCCGGATGTAGCGCCCACGGCGCCCCTGAACCCGGCGGCGAAATACACGGTGTCAGGATCGGTGCTGCCGGCCGGAGAAAGGGGCTTGCAGACCGCCGCTTGCACTCCGCTACGCGCCAAGGCAGTAGCCATCCCGGCGGCGATAGAAGTTTTGCCAACCGCGGGCCGGTCGGATGCTACGAGAAAGATAGCCATCTGAAAGGAACCAGCCGACTAGTAGTCGTCCACGCGGTTCTCGATTAACATGGGGTCAAAACCGGGCGGGAAATTGGTGGTGTCGTCCCATTTTCCCATCGTCATATCGCAGCGATGGAGACTGGCTCGATCGAAATTGGCGCCGCGCAGGTCGGTCATTATCCACATCGAATCGCGGATTTTGGCGGAAGTGAAATCGGCGCCGTGCATCAAGGCGCGGCTGATATCTGCGCCGTTCAGATTCGCGCCTTGCCAGTTGGAATTGGTCAGATTCGCCGACCGCAGGTCAACTTCAATAGCAGTGGTTTGACTGCAATCAGCGCCAGTGAGATCTGTGCCGAGGAAAGAGGCGCGGTTCAGCCGGGACCAGCGCAACACCGCGCCAGTCATGTCCGATTGCTTGAGGTCAGCCCAGAAAAGGTTCACGTTGCAAAGACTGGCGCCGCTCATGTTGGCCGCCGACAGGGTTGCTCCGCCGAGTTCCGCGCCGGTAAAGTCAGCAGAGCGCAGATCGGTGCGAGCCAGGTTAGTTTTGTTGAGCCGGGCGTCGGTGAAGTTTGCGCCACGCAGGTTTGCGCCGCGCAGCATCGCCTGGCTAAGATCCAGTCCGTGCAGGTCCGCTTCCCGCAAATCCAACTGGGTATCCGGATTTTCGTCGCGCCAGGCCCTCAGGACATTCGTGCCGGCGCGCACGATTTCCAGATGTTCAGAGATTGCCATTCCAGCAGGTTAGCAGACGGTAGGTTAATGGACGGCAGGTCGAGAGACCATGAGGGCGGCAATCAATTGTTGCCGGCCATCATTTCGTCTTCGACATCAAAGACACGTTCGGCGACGACCATTTTCAATTCATTGACCTTGGTGTAGCTGGGGTATTCTTCACCCCCGTCAAAACGGTCAAAAATCTTTTCGCCATCGAGGTAGATTTCCAGTCTGCCCTTGTCAGCGGGAGTCAACTTGACCGCAATGTCTCCGGCGTTTTGCGAGCGCCAAAATTCGATCGCCAACCACGTGGCGAGTCCGTGATAGCCTCAAGGGACGCAGTAGACAATATCGACTTCAACTTTTCCGAATTCGGACCTTGTCATCGTCATTCGTGCTTCTCCCGTTAACCGGTCGTTGAGCAGGGGAATCCGCTCCGGCCGTCTCGATGTCGCGCCCAAATCTTCACTGACTGACGCGAGCGGTAGCCTGACCAACTGCGGTCTTGTCGCCGTTCTGGTTCTCGCAGTACACATCGACCACCACCAGGGTCGACCCATCATCTTGAGGCGTGCGGCTGTTCACCTGGCCGTGTACCGACACCGTGTCGCCGTCCTTGACCGGGCGCAGGAACTTGAGGTTGACATTGCCACTGCGGTGGAAATCGTCGGAGCCGACAAATTTGCGCATGGCTTCCGTGCAAAAGGCAATGCTCATGCGGCCAGAAGCAATGGCATAGGTCGTGCCCAACCTGCGGGCGGCCAACTCCGGGTCGTTATGGATATTGGACCGGTTCAGGATACCGCAAGCCTCGAAGAGGTTGATAGTGTCCTGACTGATGTGCTTGGTGATGACGGGCAGCGTTTCGCTGTCTAGCCTTGGGGATGCCATTTCTTGCCCAACTCCTCAGGTTTTTTCAGCTGATAGGTACGCATTTTTTCGATGAGACGACCGTCTTCATCGGTGGCAGTAGCCTCGATAACCAGGTAGGGTTTTTCGCGCCTGGTGTACTTGTCGTGGACCCGACCGGTAACCAGGATCTTCTTGCCCGGCACCGGCGGGTTATACAGGTCGATTTCGTTGCCGGCGTTGACGCTTCCGGTCTGGTCGTCATAGGCCAGCGATAGCGACGTGGCGTCATGCTTCACGGCAATGGTTGGAAACACGGCGTCAGGGTCGTCAACGGCCCGGCGGTACAAGTCCACCATCTCCTGAGTCAGCAGGTATTCGTATGAGCCCAACTCCTCTCCGATTTCAACTTCGTTATAAACGAAAAGGGGCAAATCATTTTCAGCCATTTCGACACGCTCCCGGAGCAATTGGGAATTACGGGAATTACAGGTATGGAACTGCGCCGGACAATTCCCCGCAGCCAGTACCGATTGACGACCGGTACCGATAGATTGACCAAAATTCGTAAATACCATACCGCAGGGTCAGCCCGCAGTCAATTATAAGTCAGGGCATAGCGTCTGAAGCGGCGTGGCGTTTTGGACCCAATTCCACAGAAATCGAGAGAACTCGAGGGACGGCGCGACTGGGTTAGCAGCAGGTTTGGCGGTAGCCATATCCCGCTGCTCCGATGCGCGAAACTATTGACAATTTAGTACAATATCCGTAATCTTAATCGCGTAATGGCGAATACCGGAAGGCCCCGGAACTGCCGGGGCTTTTTTAGCGTGTGTCTCACGGTAGGCTGGTGATATTTGTCCGTACGAGATTTTGTGCGCCCCGGTGGCGCAATTGGCAGCGCAGCCGACTTGTAATCGGCAGGTTAGGGGTTCGAATCCCCTCTGGGGCTCTCTAAAACAGGGTCGCAAACAAGGACAAACGCGAATATATCCAAGGAGGGGTGGGTGAGTGGTTAAAACCACCAGACTGTAAATCTGGCGCTCTGACGGGCTTCGCAGGTTCGAATCCTGCCCCCTCCACCACTAGAACGTCAGTTACCACTTGTCAAAGGCGCTACCAAAATCAAATATAGCAAACACAATCGGAGAAATGCCCAGATAGCTCAGCGGTAGAGCACGTTCTTGGTAAGAACGGGGTCGGCGGTTCGATTCCGCCTCTGGGCTCCACAAGCACCGACAGCTCGCCGGGTTCATCCGCGGGCGGGGTACACCAAAACTACGGAGCAAGGAGAAACTCCCTACTATGGCAAAGAAAGTCTTCGACCGTACCAAGCCGCACGTAAACGTGGGGACCATCGGACACGTTGACCATGGCAAAACCACTCTGACGGCAGCCATCACCCGCGTGCTGGCTGAAGAAGGCGGCGCAGCCTTCCGGGGCATGGATGAAATCGACAATGCTCCCGAAGAGAAGGCCCGAGGCGTAACCATCGCCATCGCCCACGTCGAATACGAGACGAAAGAGCGCCACTACGCCCACGTTGACTGCCCAGGCCACGCGGACTACATCAAGAACATGATCACCGGCGCCGCCCAGATGGATGGAGCTGTGCTGGTCGTGTCGGCTCCAGACGGCCCGATGCCACAAACTCGCGAGCACATTCTGCTGGCTCGCCAAGTGGAAGTGCCTTCCATGGTTGTCGCCCTGAACAAGGTTGACATGATGGACGACGAGGAACTGCTCGAACTCGTAGAGCTGGAGATTCGCGAACTGCTGAGCCGGTACGAGTTCCCCGGGGACGATACGCCCATCGTGCGCGTTAGCGGCCTGAAGGCGCTGGATGGCGATCCCGAAGCCATGCAGGGGGTTCGCGAACTGGTGCAAACCATGGATGATTACATCCCGCTGCCCACTCGTATCACCGACCAGGCGTTCTTGATGCCCATTGAAGACGTGTTCGGAATCAAGGGCCGTGGCACCGTCGTAACTGGGCGCGTCGAGCGTGGTCAGTTGAGCGTCGGTCAGGAAGTGGAAATCATCCGATCCGGCGACGTTCGCAAGACGGTTGCCACCGGATTGGAAATGTTCCACAAGCTCCTGGACACCACCGAGGCTGGCGACGCCGTCGGCGTGCTGCTACGTGGCGTTGACCGGGACGAGGTCGAACGGGGCCAGGTCCTGGTGGCTCCCGGTTCGATGCGACCGTACCGGCAGGCTGAAGCCGAAGTTTACGTGCTCAGTCAGCAGGAAGGCGGTCGTCATACGCCGTTCTTCACCGGCTACAAACCCCAGTTCTACATCCGAACCAGTGACATCACCGGCGAAATCGGACTGCCCGAAGGGGTAGAGATGGTAATGCCTGGCGATAACATCACGATGACTGTTAATCTCATTACGCCCATCGCCATCGAAGAAGGGCTGCGCTTCGCAATTCGCGAGGGTGGTCGCACCGTAGGCGCTGGCGTGTTCACAAAACTGGTGGGGTAATCTGATGGCCCGCAAGTCTACCGACGCCCGGCAAATCGTGACCTTGCAGTGCACCGACTGCCGCGAGCGAAATTACTCGACTGTTAAAAACCGGCGCAGCCACACCACCAGAATGGAGTTGCGCAAATACTGCAGCCGCTGCCGTAACCACCAGGTTCACCGTGAAGTGAGGTAGCTGTAGTGGCCCGAGCATCTGCAAGAAGACCGGCGCCGATTTCTCCCCGCGCGGTGGGGAGGATCGGACCGGTTGGGTTCCTGCGGGAAACCGTCTCGGAGCTGCGTAAATCAGTTTGGCCGACCAAGGAAGAAACGGCCCGTTTGACTGTCATCGTACTGGTACTGGCCGTCGCGATGGGCTTCTTCCTCGGCCTGCTGGACCGGCTTTTTGCGGAAGTTTTCACCCGGTTCATCCTGTAACTCCCCGATTTCTCCCGATGGGGCTGGACGCTACACCGGATCACCGGGTAGCTAGGTGCCCCTGGGTTGAGCCGGGCTGTTGTTTCATTCAAACTCGATTTGTAATCCAGAAGTCTTCCTCACCCATCATCCACACAGCGGGCATAATATGACGACAACTCAATTCTCCGCCGACCTGCGCTGGTACATCGTGCATACCTACACCGGTCAGGAAGACATGGTGAAGCGGAATCTGGATTTGCGCCGCGTCAGCATGGGGATGGACGACCGCATCGCCAGGGTTGAAGTCCCGTCAGAAGATGAAATTGTGCGCAACAAGGGGGAGCGGACTTCCCAGCGACGCAAACTCTTCCCGGGGTACATTCTGGTTCAGATGGTCATGGACGACGAAGCCTGGTTCCTGGTGCGAAATACCACCGGCGTTACCGGCTTCATCTCGGCAGAAGAAGAAGGCGGCGACCGGCCGCGCCCCGTTCCGCTGGACGACCGCGAGGTCGACGACATCCTGGACCGGGTGGCATCTGGCGAACCCCGGGCTGTAATTGGGATGACCCGCGGCGATACCGTCCGCATCTCCGAAGGGCCCTTCGCCGACATGCTGGGTAAAGTGGAAGAAGTTGACGAGCATCGCGGGCAGGTTACCGTGCTGATTTCCGTGTTCGGTCGTGAAACACCGGTCGAGCTGGATTTCATGCAGGTCGATAAAGCTTAAATCAGGATCAGAGGAGGCCACCAGTGGCAAAAAAGGTACGGGCTATCATCAAGCTGCAGTTGCAGGCCGGCAAGGCCACGCCAGCGCCCCCCGTGGGCCCGGCGTTGGGTCAGCACGGTGTCAACATCATGGCTTTCGTGAAAGACTACAACGAACGCACCGGTAGCCAGTCGGGAACCATAGTCCCAGTGCACCTGACGGTATACGAGGATCGTTCTTTTACTTTTGTAACGCGCACGCCCCCGGCCTCCGACCTCCTCAGGCGCGCAGCCGGAGTGGAAAAAGGCCGCGGCGATGCACTCGGCGGCCCGGTAGGTGTCGTCGACAGTGACACCCTGCGGGGCATTGCGGAAGAAAAGATGAAGGACCTTAACGCCAATTCCGTTGAGCAGGCGATGAATATCATCGCCGGAACGGCCCGCAGCATGGGAATTGCTGTGGAAGGCGACTAGACACCAGGGAGATTTTAGCCATGCCCAAGCACAGCCGCCGTTATAATACCGCTGCGGAACGGATCTCAGAAGACTCGACGTACCAACCCGACGAGGCAATTGGCCTCATCAAGGAGTTGTCCAGCGCCAAGTTCGACGAAACCATTGAAGTTCATCTGCGCACCACTGCCGACGTGCGCCACGCCGAACAACAGGTGCGGGGCGTAACCGTACTCCCCCACGGCCTTGGGAAGCAGGTGCGGGTGCTGGTCTTTGCCAACGGCGAAGCTGCCGACATCGCGCGTCAGGCCGGCGCCGACTTCGTGGGCGACGACGACCTGATCGCCCAGGTTGAGAGCGGCTGGACGGAATTCGACGTGGGACTAGCCATTCCGGAGATCATGTCCAAGATTGGACGACTGGGTCGTGTGCTTGGTCGCAAGGGCCTGATGCCCAACCCTCGCACCGGCACGCTGGTTCAGGCTCGCGACTTGACCCGTGTGATTCAGGAATCCAAAGCTGGACGTTTGGAGTTTCGCACCGACCGCACCGCCATCATCCACGGGCAGTTCGGCAAATCGTCCTTCGAGAGTGAAGCCCTGGTCGACAACCTTACCGTCTTCATGGACGCAGTAATGCGCGAGCGACCGGAAGCTGTCAAAGGCGCGTTCATAAAATCCGCGTATATCACTTCTTCCATGGGGCCCGGCATTCCGGTTGATGTGGCGACCCTGCAGGCCATGAGGCCAGCATAGTTCTCGGGCGGGCCGGATCCTGTTGTAACCAGCGATGCGGAGTGATACCCTAACAGCTACAAACTGAATAATAATCAATGCGCTTGAGACAGCGGGTTCCAATTGGGAAATAATGGCAGCCGAAAGGCGCCGCCCGCCGAAGCGGATACCACGGATTCGTCCGGAAGTATTAAGGTTGAACGACGCCTATCGTGATTGTTCCCGATAGCGACCAAAACCACCCCACTGCGCAGAGAGTCTTCGACGCGCTGGGGTTATTTTTGTGGCACTCGCACTGCACAAAAGCTCATGGCCACGCGTTCCAGCAACGGAGGGATCTGTGCTCAACCCAGGCTTCGAAAGTAGTCGTGCGGGGTACCGACTCAAGAGATATAGACTGCAGAAACAGCGCCTATCGTCATACCACCCGGCTTTCACCGGCGATGGGCGTTAACCGAGATGTGATTTGCGGCGGAGGCTACGGGAAGGCAGTGTGGAGTTTGTTGTTATCAAGAACAACCTGCTAGACCTGGCAGCCGACGCGGCCGGCATCCCGCAACTGAAAGACATTGTCAGCGGACAGACCGGCATCGCGTTGGGTTACGCAGACCCGGCGCAGGCGGCCAAAACGCGGTTACCAGAAACGAGAGACATAATGTGGGGAAAAGAAGAGGAGATGGAACGGAATCGCCGCCGCTCGCTGTGGCATCCTGTCCATCGGCGGAGCCATCATAGATCAGGGAGACCCGATGCCGCCAACGGAAGTGTCGCGGTTGGCAGCATTGCCCCCACAGCCCGTACTGGTGGCAATGCTGCTGGGCGGCATGCAAGCGCCGCTGTACGGCCTGCTTGGCATCCTGAGCGGGCCCGTTCGCAGCTTGGGCTACCTCTTGCAGGCGCGCGTAGATCAGTTGCAACAATCCGAAGAGGCGGCATAGTCAACAGCCCCAAAGCCGCCCCATTACCGTAAACGAGCCAACAAAAACAGCACCCACAAACCCAAACCGGAGGCGTCTATCATGGCAGTCAATCAAGAAATTCTGGAATCAATTCGCAGCATGAGCGTTATGGACCTGGCCGATCTGGTCAAGGCGCTGGAGGAAGAGTTCGGCATCTCGGCAGCAGCGCCCATCGCAGTAGCGGCAGCGCCGGCCGGTGTCGTTACAGATGATGCCCCTGCCGCAGAAGAGCAGAGCGAGTTCGACGTCACCCTGGCCGACTTCGGAGCCAACAAGATCAACGTCATCAAGGCCGTGCGCGAGATTACCGACCTGGGTCTGCGCGAAGCCAAAGAGCTGGTCGAGTCGGCGCCCACCCGCGTCCGCGAGGGCGTCAACAAGGACGAGGCCGACAGCATCAAAGCCAAGCTGGAAGATGCCGGCGCCACCGTACAAGTGGCCTAACCAGCCACGACATCGCGGAATGCGAAACCCCTCTCTAACGCGAGAGGGGTTTCGTGTATCTGATCCCCCAGCCCGCCATCAGCCGCGGCGGGGTTGGGATGTCGCGGTACCTGGTGTAAAATGCGGCCAACAAACACGGGAGGGCGCCACCATGGATCTGGAGCTGAACGGAAGGTCCGCCATCGTTACCGGCGGCAGCCGTGGCATCGGCAAGACAGTGGCCAGGGTGCTGGCCGGCGACGGATGCAACGTGGTCATCACCGGTCGGTATGCTGACACGCTGTCCACCTCGGCGGAAGAAATCGCCACCGCAACCGGCGGTCGGGTAACGCCCATCGTGGCGGACATGACCAGTACCGAACAGGTCAACGCCATGGTTGCCACCGCCGCCGACGCCCTCGGCGGGCGCGTCGATATTCTGGTGAACAACGCCGCTGCACCCGGAGGTCTGGCTCGCGGATCGCTGGCCGAAATCCGCGACGAAGATGTAATGCTGGACCTGGACACCAAGGTAATGGGTTACCTGCGCTGCGCCCGGGCGGTCGCTCCCTACATGGAACAACAGGGATGGGGCCGTATCGTGAACATTGGCGGTCTGTCCGCCCGCCAGGCGGCCGGCAATCTGAGTGCGGGCGTGCGCAACTCCGGCTTGTCCAACCTGACCAAATTCCTTGCCGAAGAGCTTGGCGAACACGGTGTCTGCGTCAACCTGGTTCATCCGGGCACCACGCGCACCGAACGGAGCGGGCCGATGTATGCGGAGCAGGCAGCCCAGCAGGGCACATCGGTGGACGAAGTAGAGCGACGGGTGGCATCGCGCAATTCCACTCGCCGCATAGTAGATGCTGAAGAACTGGCCTGGGTGGTGGCATTCCTGGCTTCCCCGCGCAGCATCGCCATCAGCGGTGAAACCATCGCGGCCGGCGGCGGCGCGGGCATCAACGTCTATCACTGATCGGGCAAAATCACAGGAGAAAATACGATGATCAAGGTGACCGTTTTCTACGGCAACGAAGCCGACAAGTCGTTTGATTTCGATTATTATGTAAACAAGCATATGCCCATGGTTCAAGAGCGCCTGACCACCTTCGGGATGCGTTACTACAACGTGGAGAAGGGCATATCCGATACCGACCCGAACGCCCCGCCGTTGTACACCGCCGTGGGTTACCTGTTCTTCAACGATGTGGACGGCGTCCACGAGGGTTTCAAGAATCACGGACGCGAACTGGTGGGCGACGTGAAGAACTTTACCGATATCGAACCACAGTTTCTCATCAGCGAACTCATCGCCTAGCAATCTCGCCCGTCCGGACGCATCTTTTCCCCATCAGTGGGCGAGACGATGCCGTCCGGCGCCCGGTCTGAGGGAATACCGTGACACAAGCGGATGATGTCGTAGCGTCTCGCGCCGCGGTGGACGCGCTGGCGGAACGGGCCATCGCGCAACACTGGGACTTTTTGCCTACCTCGGGCAGTCGCATTGGTCGGCATGAGTACGATGGCCGGCTGCCCGATTTCTCCGCCGGCCGAGTGCAAAGGCGGGTTGAGGAACTGCACCAAACAATAGCGCAGCTATCTGCTATTCCCAGCCCGTTAACACGGAACCGTCTGGCGACGACGGCGTCCGCGAAGCGGCAATGGCCGGCCTTTCGCGCCACCTGCTGGAAATGTTCCTGCGTCGGGAGTTGTTCAACCTCGACGAAATGCGGACGCTGGAAAACAACCCGCAACGTCAGGTTGGATACCTGAATGTGGGCGGATACGTGCAGCGCGATTATGCCCCGCTTCCGGATCGCCTGCGCTCGGCCAACGAAGCGCTGAGCCAGGTGGCAGACTTCCTGGCAACGCTGGATGCCAAAACCGACCCCGAGCTGGGCGCTCCCCTGCGCGACATGGCGGTGGAGGCGTACCGAGGTATGGCTTCTTACTACCGCACTGGCCTGTCCGCTGCCGCCGCCGACTGCGTCGCCGTAGCGCCAGACGTTGCCGCCGAGTTCGATCAGGCTCGCACGGCCGCAGCAACTGCGGTGGATGCCTTCGTGGAACGGTTGCAGTCTCGCGACGTGCGACCGGAATTTGCCATCGGTTCCAGTATGTACGGTCGAATGCTGGCCGTGGGCGAGGGAGTCAATACGGCGTTGTCCGACGTGCTGTCCATAGGCCAGGCCAACCTCGAAGAGAATCTGCGCCGGTTGGATGAAGCCGCATCGCTGGTGGCGCCGGGCAAATCGGTACGCGAGGCGGTGGCCCTGGTCAGCTCAAACCATCCGACGGCGGCGGGCCTGATTCCAGACGTGCGGGAGATGCTGGAAGACATCCGGCAATCGCTGATCGATCTGGACATCATAGGCTTGCCCTCCGAAGAGCGGTGCCAGGTTACGGAAACACCGTCGTACATGCGCTACGCCTTTGCCGCCATGGATTCCCCGGGTGGGTTGGAATCGGTTGCCACCGAAGCCTTCTACTACGTTACACCCGTGGAACCCGACTGGACGCCACAGCAGCAGGAAGAATGGCTGGCCAATTTCAATTACCGCACGCTGAAGGTGGTGAGCATCCACGAGGTGTACCCCGGCCATTACGTGCACAACCTGCACAATAGACACGGCGGCGGCCTGCCACTGATCAATCGGGTCGCCACATCCTACGCCTTCAGCGAGGGTTGGGCGCACTACACCGAGGAGATGATGCTGGAGACCGAGTACGGTCGCGATGACCCGGCCCTCTGGTTGACCCAACTGTTGGAAGCGTTGGTGCGTAATTGCCGCTACCTGTGCTCGCTGGGGATGCACACCCAGCGCATGACGGTTGATGAGGCGACGCGGTTCTTTCAGGCGCACGCCTACATGGAAGAACACCCGGCGCGTCGGGAAGCGCTACGTGGCACCTTCGACCCCGGCTACCTCAACTACACGCTGGGCAAACTGATGCTGCTGAAACTGCGCCAGGACTGGAGGCGGCAGGAAGGCGCGGGTTACCGTCTGCGCGGCTTCCACGACGCCGCACTATCCTGGGGTGCCCCACCGGTCCCCCTGTTGCGGTCGGCGATGCTACGCGAACCCGGCGCTGAAATCCTGTAGCCGAGTGCGAGGCAGGGGTCATTTCCGAAACGACTCCGGGGAAACGGCCATCGCATCAGCAGATGCCAGCCAACCCGCAGCACGGCGCGCCGCCGCCGACAGTCGACGTCTAGGTCCGAAAAGTCACCCGGCGAAACGCCTCAGCGAGAACGAAACCGGCGGCGTCTTCGTCCGGTGAGGCATTGCCCTGCTCGGCCGCCTCGTGAGCGCGGTCGCGAATGAACGCCTGCATTTCTGCCCGGGTACGTTGACGGGTTTGGGTAGCATGAGCCATCACGGAATCCAGTTTGATTTCGAAATCAGCGGAAATGTTCACGAAGGCGTTTGGATTTTCAGAACCCCAAAACATTATGGCCGCCGTTTTGTGCCGCGCGATGCCCTCGTTGGCAAACAGGTCGCCAAAATGCAGGTGGTCGCGCGCATAGGGGAACACCGCATCCAGCGCCACCTGGCCGGCAATCCGATGGTCGCGGTGCCACTGCATATTGCGGCGATACGGCTCGGTGGTCAGCACCACGTCGGGCTTGATGATGCGAATTTGACGCACCAGTTCTTTGCGAAAATCAGACGTGTCTTCCAGTTCGCCATCGGGACGCCCCAGCATTACCACGTTGGTAACTCCCAGAATTTTGGCGGCTGCCAACTGCTCGCGGTTGCGCGCTGCGATCAGCTCGTCGACGCGTATCTCAGGGTCATCAGTGCCTTTGCTGCCGTCGGTACACAGCACGTAATGCACTTCAGCGCCAGCGCGCACCCACTGGGCGATGGTTCCGCCGGCCCAAACTTCGGCGTCATCGGGGTGTGGCGTTATCACCAGTGCGCGTTCAGGCGTGAAATCCATCGGGCGTGGCCTCCAGAATAATGGTAGGAGATGGCGAAGCGGGCGGCGGCTGCAGCGAGGGTTTCGACTGAGCTGGCGCACCGCCAAAATTAGGAACTGACGGTTACTCTGCTACAATCCTCAACCAGTGTCAAGGGTTCATCCGGAGCAGCTACTGTTACACCTTACGGGCCCTCGTTGGGCAACCGGATTGCGCCCCCGGTTCCCTCTGCGCGGCAGACTAAGGACAATATCATGTCCCGATCGACGTGCCAAGCGGGGCCAATTGAAGCAACCACTGCATCGTGTCCTTGCGCTATTACACGGGCGATAACTTCTCCCGCCTGCTCGATTTCCTGGCCCCAACTGCGGACGGCAACCTCAAGTTCCAAGCGGAAGTCCAACGCCGTATTCTCTACGAAACTCCCATCCAACGGTGTGTGCTGAATATCAGCGTTACCGAAGCCGCGCGCAGCACGGTTGCCCATCAGGAGTTGATCACGAGTCAATGGGGTTCCGGAAGACCGGCGAGTTGCACTGGTTCGAATTCCGGTTGTAACGCCTGGCCCTCGACCGACGAGTTTCGCCAAACGCGTGGGCAGAGCGGTTAGATCACCTGCTGACCAAATCCTGCCGGCTGTGTGCACGCTCTGTCATTAGCGGCGATTGCTTCTTTTTGCCCGCAGGTTCGTTGCTGCTGCACCGCAACCAGTGGAGCCCGGGCCAGGTGGTGTGATTCGTAATCGACCGTTGGGAGAAAATATCGCCAGCCAGGATGCCACCCGATATTATCATGCGCATGGCTTCGTCAACGGTGATGTCGGTTGGAGTAACTTTGCTGGCGGGCCAGATCACCAAATATCCGGATGACGGCACCGGCGTGGTGGGGATGTAAATTGACACGTACTCCTCCAACCCGTCCACCCGACCCAGGTTCGCAGTAATCAGGCCAATCGACATCACGCCCTGACGCGGGAACTCGACCAAAACCACGCCGCGATAGTTCTGCTGCTGCGTATCGGACAGGAAATCTATCCCCATGCGGGTGGTGTTATACACCGGGCCTAGCACAGGTATTCTGCCGATGACATCGTGGACGTAATTGATCAGAAGTTTGGCCACGGCCCACCCGATCAACAGCCCCATGACATAGAGAATTACAATCGCGACAGCAAAGGCCAGGCCCGGATATCGCGGTATGCGAAAGAAGCCCAGGACCGGATCTAGCAGCGCATTGACGAGGTCGTAGAAGAAATCAAAAACCACATAAGTAACGAATACTGGCAAAAAGACCAACACACCGGCCATCAACCGGCTTTGCAAATGCCGGATTGCGTGGCCCATCGGCGAACGGTGCGGGTGGTGTACCGCAACCATGGCCTCGTATCGTTCGTCACCCTCGTGGGATTCCGGGGCATGGTGGCGGCCGAAACGCCCTCGCATCATGAAGCAGAAATCCCGTTGTCAACCACCGATCGCGGTTGGCCGTACAGGTCGAGCATCCGACCTGCGATAGCATCCCAGCCCAGGGATTCGGCGCGGCGGCGCGCCGCCTTGCCCATGCTGTCGCGCAAGCTCTGGTTGGCCATTATCATTTCCAGAGAGGTGGCGAAAGCCTCCGGGCAGCGCCACGATTTCAGGTAGCCCGTGCGCCCATGCTGGATGATGGTCGGCAAACCCCCCACGCGCGAAGCCACCACCGGCGTGCCGCACGCCATGCTCTCCAGTGCGGCCATACCAAAGCTTTCGTAAAAGGATGGCACCACACACACATCGGCTGCCGAGTAGTACCAGGCCAGCCGTTCCTGCGGCACACGGCCGACGAATTCGATCGCATCGCCGACGTTAAGATCGTCAGCCATCTGTTGCAGCCGGGCGATTTCCTGGCCGCCGTCGGCGTCGGCTCCCACCACCAATACCTGTACGTCGTCAGACTCCAGCTGAGCTGCAGTGCGAATCAGCAAATCAACGCCCTTGAGGGCTTCGATCCGGCCCACGCACAGCAGAATCTTGTGGCCGTTCAGTCCCAGTTCTTTGGTTGCCCGCGCCTTGCCCAGTGGGCGGAATCGGGACAAATCCACACCGCACGGAACCAGTTCGATCCGCAGCAGCGTCGGCAGAAGTCAGATACAAACGACCACGACGACATCACGTTCGTGTGACGCCGGGGCTGAAGCGCGGCAACGATGCAGTCGGCGCCGGCGATGATTTCCGCTTCGCGGCGTGGCCCGTTGCCGCCCCGATTCCGGCGTCTCTCTCGCCCGAGCGCGATTGCATCTTAATTCGGGAGAGCGTATGGAATGTCACCAGATGGGGAGCGCCAATGTCGTTGGCGAATTGCTGGCCGGCCACCCCTCAACAGTAAATGGGATGAGTATGCACACAGCCTTGGTAATGCGCGCTTGTTCACTGGCTGTTCACGTGCGAACTGTTGATGCCGCAAGAACTCGGGAAGAGTAGGCGACGCTGCGTGCTGCACGCCAGCGCAGCATCCGCAGACGGCTCGGCACGGAGGTGCTCAACAGCATTACACGTCCCCGCGCAAACTTTTCGTAGCGCTCAGACATCGGCCCACTCGTGTATGCGCGGGTGAAATGTCTTCGACCGCCACACGCAGTCGAGCCAGCGCCTCGGACAGTTCCGCACGTAAACGTTGCATGCGTCCGCGGATTTACCTGCTGCAGGGCGGCCAACGGGCAGGCGTGGTAGGCCAGCAGCGCTACTCGGGCGTCGGGGACGGGGGGCAAGTCAGGAACGCTCCTGTGTGGAATCACCATTCCACTCCAGGCCGTTTTATGCGGTATGAGATGATAGGTCGGTCCGCCCGCCGCGTAGTACGCGTTCGTTGCCACCGCGCAGGAAGGAAGTCAAAATAGCGGTAGCCTCGTTCCAATGCATCGCGCAGGCACAGGGAATGGAGCAACAGGCCTACGCTATAGTATCGGTATTCCGGATCGTGACCGCTGTTGTACAGCATACGGACGCCGTCGTAGTCGAAGCACATCGACGCCGCCACGGGCTTGCCGTCCATTTCCAGGAAGAACAAGCGCAGGATGTCCTCGGCGGCGGTGGCGGCTACCATCTGCCGGAAAAACGCCTCGCGCTCCTGGGTCAAAAACTCCGCTTTCGCCGCGTCGCTCTGGCGCATCAGACTAACGAAATCATCCATGCGGCTCACTGCCTCCCGAAAGAGTACGCGTCGTGACCAAGACAGTAATCATGTGGGACACCCAGCTGCCAGTGCATGTGCACCACCCACAGAATACACATGCAGTTTCATGCGGCGCACAATCAGGCGGTCGTGGCGACGTCTTTTTGCCGAGCCCAGCCAAATACTCATCCCAGGTTTCCGTCAGTACGAGGCGAGGGGCCACATCCTCTTCTTCCACATCCACTGCGTACCCGCGGTCGCGGGCCAACTGCGGCAACATCTTCAGTGTGGGGGAATCCTCTCCAATGGAATACAGGTCCAGCTGGCGTCCCCCGCCGTCGCTGATGGCATCCAGCAATGCCGGATAAAATCGTTGCTCAGCGCCGCTGGCAATGACAAAATCGTTATAGTCGAAGGTATCGCTGTTGCCCACCAGTGTGTAATGGTCGCCGGAACGGGACAGAGAAGCGATGGCGGCCACGTCCCCGTCGGTATCGGTCATGTAGAAACCGGCCAGCGAACGGCCATCCTGAAAAGCGTCCCACCACAGTTCCTGCCAAACGGGCGTGACGTACAGGTTGTTGACCGACGAGCGGCCCAGCAGTTCTTGCCACTGGCTCCGGATCTGCCCGAAGGATGTAATCGGTGTGGGCACCTGAAGTTCAGACATTTATTTCCTCGGCGGCAGCCATCAGACCGCCAGCATATCGAGCAAGTCGCGACGTGAGTAGGCAGCTGCGCAATCCGCAGTTTCGGCCGCCGTATTCATGCGGGCAGCGGTTGTGATGACGCGGTGACCGGGTTTCCGCACGCCCCGCATGGACATACAAAGATGCTCGGCCTCCAGGCGACACGCCACGGCCAAGGGTTGCACCCGCCCCAGCACGGCGTCGGCCAGTTGTGCGGTGAGCCGTTCCTGCACCTGCAACCGCCGCGCAGCCACGTCCAGCGCCCGGGCAATTTTGCTTATGCCCGCGATGTGGCGGTGGGGCACGTACACGAGGCGAGCGTGGCCAAAGAAGGGCAATAGGTGGTGCTCGCACATCGAGTAGAACGGTATGTCTCGAACGATTACCGGGTCGGGCGTAACGTCCTCGGAGAAAATGGCGTCGATTTCATCCGCCGGATCACGGCCTACGCCGGCGAACAACTCGCCGTACATCTCAGCCACCCGGTCGGGAGTGTTCCACAAACCCTCGCGCTCGCTGTCCTCGTCGATGTATTTCAGCACCGTACCGATGGCCAACGCCACGGCCGGCTGGTTGATTTTGGCAGCAGTGGTCATGCGATACAGTTCATGACTCGGGGACTACGGGCCACCGACCGGGTTAGCTCGACTCGCCACCGGCAGAGAATCCATAATCGCCGCTTCGATGGCCTCCAGGTTGGCTTTTACTTCGATGGTGTCGGCCTGGACGCTGCTGACAGCCATGTCCGGATCCTTCAGGCCGCTACCGGTGATTACGCAGACCACCCGTTTGCCCTCCAGGTTGAGGCCGTTGCGGCGCATCTTCATCAGTCCCGCGACACAGGCTGCGGATGCCGGTTCGCCGAATATGCCTTCTCGGGATGCCAGCATACGGTACGCTTCCAGAATCTCATCATCGGTAAACCGAATCGATGGTACCGCCGGATTGATCGCGAGCGCGCTCGGCTTGCTTCCAGCTGGCCGGGTTCCCGATGCGTATCGCCGATGCAATGGTCTGCGGGAACGCCACCGGCTTGCCGAGGACGATGGGTGCGGCGCCAGCGGCCTGGAATCCCATCATCTTGGGCAGCGTATCGTTTTGCCCCAGTTGATGGTATTCCACGAATCCGCGCCAATAGGCGGTGATGTTGCCGGCGTTGCCCACTGGTATAAACAGATAATCCGGTGCATCGCCGAGGATATCCGACACCTCAAAAGCGGCAGTCTTCTGGCCTTCGATGCGATGTGGGTTTACTGAATTGACCAGCGTAATCGGATTGTTGTCGGTAAACTCGCGCACCAGCGCCAGCGCCGCATCGAAGTTGCCGTCCACCAGCAGGATTCGAGCTCCGTAGGCCATTGCCTGCGCCAGTTTGCCCAACGCCACCTCGCCCTTGGGTATCAGAACCCACGCCGCCAATCCGCAATAGGCGGAATAGGCAGCGGCAGAAGCGCTGGTGTTGCCGGTGGAAGCGCACATCACCCCCACGCTGTTTTCCTCCATGGCCTTGGCGATGGCTACCACCATCCCCCGGTCTTTGAAAGAACCGGTGGGATTGCACCCTTCCAGCTTGAAAAACAGATCGGGGCAGCCCAACTCCGGCCCCAGATGCCGCGAGCGCACCAGAGGCGTGTCACCCTCGCCCATCGAGATGATGGGGGTTTCTTCGTTCACGGGAAGCAAATCCCGATATCGTTCTAAAACGCCGGTGCCCATCAGATGCCTGCTATTTCAGTCTTGTTGACCAATGGTAGCGCAATGCTCCGTTGAAACGGTGGTTATGGTTCAATGCGGATCAGGTTGTTGACGCCAACGACAACATCCAGTTCAGCAACCACTGCCAAAGCGGATTGAACATCAACCTCCCGGGCCGGATAAGTAGTGATTACCAGTTGTGCGGTCCCACCACCGGGATCGGTATCTTTTTGAATGACCGTTGCGATAGAGATGTTGCCGTCCCCCAGGATGCGAGCTATCTGGGCCAGCACACCAGCCTGGTCGGCGCACGTGAGACGCATGTAATAAGCGCTGGCCAGCTCGTCGATGGGTCGAACTGAATTACCCGCCGTGCCGTAGTCGCCATCGAGTGTCGGAAATGGCGGCGGGCCTTCCGCGTTACCAATGGTACGCAGGATGTTCAGAATGTCGCCCATGACGGCGCTGGTGGTCGCCTCGCGACCGGCGCCCTGGCCGTGGAGAATGATTTGACCGCACAGGTCGCCCGTAACTTCAACAGCATTATACACGCCGTCGACATTGGCGAGCAGGTGGTCTTGCGGCACCAGGGCGGGATGAACGCGGGCCTGCACCAGGCCGTTGGGTTCGGCGGTAGCGATGGCCAGGGACTTGATGGCGTAGCCCAGTTCGGCGGCGTATCGGAAGTCTTCCGGCGCGAGCCGGCTAATACCTTCAGTGTAGATGGACTGGTGCGGTATCGGACGGTGGAAGGCCAGACTGCCCAGTACGGACAGCTTGTAAGCGGCATCGACCCCTTCAATATCATTGGTAGGGTCTGCCTCGGCGTACCCATGACTCTGGGCTTCGGCCAGGGCGTCGGCGAACGGTGTCTGGCTGCGGGCCATCCGCGTCAGGATGTAATTGGTGGTGCCGTTGATTATGGATCGGATGGAACGGATGTCGTTGGCCAACAACTGGGACATCAAGCAGCCGACGATAGGAATACCACCGCCGGCAGATGCCTCAAACAACAAATTGACGCGGCGCTCCTGGGCGAGCGCCATAAGTGAAGGGCCGCGACGCGACATCACCTCTTTGTTCGCGGTTACGACGTGCTTTCCGCCGCCGAGCGCGCGCTCTACAGATACTCACCGGCCGGCGAGTCGCCGCCCATGGTTTCCACCACGATGTGAACATCTGGGTCGGACAAATATCTTCGGATTGGTGGTGAGCACACTGCGGGCGGTGCGGGTTGCCGATTTTGAGACGTCGCGCACCAAGCACGCCGCAAAACCGACGGCACGCGCCAAGTCTTGCGCTGAGGGCATCTGCGTTTAGCGTTTGCAGCAGTAGCCTGGCGACACACCCTACGAGGATACCCATCCATCACAACACCGATGTCTGATTCTCCCCGTGGCCATTCCTATCGGACTGCTGCGCCGGTTGGATACTGTTGCGGTTGTTTTGTTTCCGGGGTCGGAGTAACGCGCGGGCGCGTCACGGACATGGTCGGTAAACCAAGCGTACACGGTCGCTGTTGAGTACTCTCGACCCAACCTTCGTCCGAACCTTGAGCCAATGATACCTTCAGTGATCCTCCGAGCGTACACGCATTGCCCCGCCATCTGTGGTCCACTATCCTGGTTTCGCCCGCGCATGCCGCAAAATGATGCACTGGCTTCATCAATTGAGATCGGATCGGATATTTCGCCAGGTTCCAGCAGAAGCCGGACTCTCTCGTCACCGAAACAGGTAGGGGTCGAACTCGAAAAAAGAAAACCGGCGCCTTGCGGCACCCAGCCGATGTAGCCGTCGGAGCCGCCAGCTCGCGCGCCACGCTGGCGAAATCTGTCACCAGCACAGGCAGTTCTTTAACCGCGTCCGGCGACGCGGAACTGTCGCGCTCAAAGCGATGGGCCTGATCTCTACTGCGGCGTCTCTTCGGGAATAGACGACAACATGCGGCAAAAAAATCGCGATACTGCAGCTGTTCTTGGCAAATGCGGCGATAGGCACCGTGCGGTGAGGTTTCACCTGGGTCTTAAAGTTCCCGTACCTGTTCTCAAAACTCGGCGTCCCAGTTGCGCATCGTCCACCTCTTGACCCGGTTGGCCGCCGGACGGAAGAAAAATCGGACTCAATGCCTCGATCTATTTGCTCTTCGGAACGTTAATTGCAGGCCGGGCGCTTTGCTGGCGCAAAATCTCAGAGTTGTGCATGCAGAGCAAATCGAGTCAGCAGTGGAATGGGATGCGATGAAATCACCTGCAGCCTGGTAGCGGGGTTTGATGCCTGCAGCACCCTAATGCGCTCTAACAGGTCGCACCTGCTGATGAAACACGCTCACCCCTGATCTCTCCGGCCATTACACGTGCGGGGGAGACAAAACTCCGGTAAACGCCACAAGCTGACACCCCTATGATGGACAACAGCATACCGCCCCCAAAACAATATGGCGGATGCGCTGACGCCGGAGCTTCTGTCTGCGACGTTTGTCGGGGCTGCGCGCATTCTCGTGGCATCGGTGGCGACAACACGCGGTTACGCCTCCCCGGCGCCGGACCGGACGGGGGCCGCATGGCTGAGAGCGGTCGGTGTTTCGGCGTTATCGGCGACTGGCGTTTCCAGGGGCAACTGCAGGTTTAGCATCTTAAGAAAAACGTTGACTACCTCCCACCGGTTGCGGCGGCCATTCCGACGTTGATGCGTGCGCTAAGGGGACGTAGGCGGCAGGCGAGGAAGAGGGCGCGCGTGATCGCAAGTAGGCCAATACAACCGCTGGTCTTCGCCGAGTTCCCGTCTGGGGTATCGGAGTCAATTTTGCCCTGCTCCGAGATATAACGGCGCCCCCCCGCAAACCGTCAACGTCCTTGTAGTCGGGCCCGTAAAAGAGAATATCAGGTAAGGGAAAAAAAGGAAGAAGAGGAAATTTATCGCCTATTGTTGTCTCTTAATTTTTTCGAGCAGGTCGATAGCCAAAGAAACAGAATAGAAAGGGAGGACCAGGGGAGAGATGGAAAGAAGAGAAGGGAGGGAGGAAAAAAAAGGGAAAAAAGAAGAAAAGGAAGATCCTTTCGCCTACTCTACCGGTAAGACAAGCCGGAACACGACGCTATGAAAAAGAAAAAGGGGTGGTAGAGGCGAGAGAAGGGAAGTAGGGAGAGGGAGGGGCTGCAGTACGGAAAAGGAGGGGGGGGGACGGAGGTTGTGGAGAAGGGGGGTGAGGTGCGTTCCCGGTGTGGGTTGTTTGGTTGTACCGTCTTTTGTTACCAGGAGCCGCGGAGGGTTCGGGAGCAGAGAGCAGGATGAAGGCCGTGGGGTTGTAGTCATTTAGCGAAAACTTCTCAGTCCTGGTAATTCGGCGCCCATTTTCTTTTAGAAAACGGCGCCCTGCACAGTTAGAACGGCCACCATCGTCAACATCGCCATGGGCTTCGTCGCCACCACCGCCGCGTAATGTCGCCGCCGCCGTAATGGTCGCGACGCTGGCCGGGCGTTAAAATTAGAGGTGGTGATACAGCAACACTGAAACACTACGTTGTTGTCGTGTGTTAAAAACAAATGCTCCTCTATTATGTTGCTCTTGTTTTTTCCCTTTCTTTCTCTTTTTATCACTCAACTCTTCCCCACAAAGGGGGACATCTTTGGATACGCTTGCCGATCACCCTGGATTAGGGGGGGCATTTCTACAGATATGGTTTAGTTGGGATTAGTGGGTTAACAATTTTTCCCATGTTAAGATTCAATCTTTTCGTCTTTCCCCCGCCCAATGCCTAAAGGATAGGGGCCTTCTGCTGGATTGGGGCTCTATCATTAACTCATCCTGATCCGTTTTCTACCTCGTAGTCCCGGATCTTTTTTTTTCTTCTCCTCTCACCTGTCTCACACTTGTGGACTAATTGTAACCCCCCAAAATTCCATTTTACTGCGACATCCTCAGACACCCCAATCAGATCAGTGAATCTTGACTGATTTATCTCCTTTGTGCTTTCCGATCCTCTGCTGGGGACTCACAGGAATTACGCCGGGGGGGGGCTTGGACTTTCTTTCCTATCTACGATTACTAGTCTTCTACCCCTCTGGAGAGGCGACTTAAGAGTGGGGGTGACGCGAAAAGATGGGGGGGAGGAGGACTATTTATTGGGCGGATCGGAGGAATACATTACCATTAATAGTTACTTTGTTTGCTCCTTTAGGGCTCGCTGTGTCGATTTTCCCCTCCGTATATCCCGTGTCACTTACACTTGTAGACCCACTCGCCAAGTGAGAACAAGATCCTGTTAGGGGACTCTCACTACTAAACAATAAGCGGGTAGAAGGTGAAGGTTGGTGTGTATGGGTGTGTTAACAACTGTCTTGATGACTCACCGACGCGATTCCTAGCATTGACATTTCGGTTAACGTAACGTCCAGCGAGAACCCGGTTGTACCGTACGCGCCGTTAGTATTGCCGGGAGCGCAGCGTCCTTCAATATACACCTGCTGCCCGCGGGCAGGTATTGATTCACACATCGGCAAGGCGACCGACCAAGCGGTGCAGGTTGTTTTGTTTTTTGCCAGTTTTGCCAGTTAAACACTCGGTTTCCCTCGCTGTTTCGCCGCCGGTCGTTTATTTTATACCGGCGGTGCTGGCAATGCTAAAGCCACTAATCGGATACCGGAAGTCGAATACCGCATCTCGGGTCGCGACCCCAGATTTCCGTATGGTTCCTGTCACGAAAAAAAAGATTGACGACTTCCGCCTCGGCGTCGGATTTCCGCAGGGGTCGGTTCAGTTACAACTGGCGGTTCGACCACTGAAGTTTTTCTTCAGGTTCCGTCGACGGCGCCGGCCTCAACAGCAACTGGGCCGCAGTGTCGGCCACAACTGGGCTCAGACGGGTTGCCGGTCAGCACAACGATTCTGGGGCGGCGGCTGCCGGATCGGCAGCAAACGATTTTGGTGTGCGCGACGGCCCGCCGGCTCGACGGCAACCGTGCTGGCGCGACGGATGACGGATCGGACAGCTAACGATTATGGGGACGTCGGATGACAGGTTTCAGCAAAACCCCGATTCGGCGAGGGTGGCTGACGGCTCGGCAGGCGCCGGCTCGGCGACGGATGGCGGGGCGAGGGGAGGGCTGAGGGAGGAGCAAGACGCGTAAAGGGGACACCCAGTAAAGTATGGAACAGCGTTACGCACACCCATCGCGTGCGACGGGCAAAAGAACGGGCGGAATGTAGCGCGATGGCGCGGTCAGCGGACCAGGCGACGGGAGTCTCCATCGGCCCATCACAGCGAACGACCAGCGAAAAGCAACACCCGATCATCCCGGCGCAGATAAGTCTCCACGCCTCCCG